TCTCACCACTGACTGTCAGTCACACCAGCAGTTCTCACCACTGACTGGTGAGTCACACCAAAGGTTCTCACCACTGACTGGTCAGAACTGCACTGCAAACCTCCTGAACTGTGAAGTAAAGGCAACTTCACACTGTCTGGGGTTTGGCTTAGTTTGTTTCTATGATGGGTTTTGCCCATCCTTTATCCACAAAACACACAGCTACTTCTGTCCTACTGAATATTCATGAAATTAAATTATAGTGACTTAAAAGTTCTGGCTGAAACATGTATATATCTTGCATTGTGTCTGTGGGGGCATGCACAGGCACGCGCATGCACACACCACACTCACATACATGTGCGTGCACACATACAAACAATAATAAAGCAATTAATGACTATATGCTCTGTAATTCCATTTACACAACGTGTCCAGAACGGGCCGACTCAGGACAACCCGTGGAGCAGGAGTGGGGTGAAGTGGAGGAGACAGAGGCCGACAGCAAACAGCTACAGGGCTCCTTTGTAGGACAATAGTAAAGTTCTCAAATGGAGTGTGGTAAGGTTCACGCAACCTGTGACTCCAGGAAAAGTCTATCAAACACCCACTCTAAACGGGTGAACTGCATTTCATGTCAATTATACCTCAAAATAAACACTGCTGAAAAAGAACCTCGAAGCAACTCCCAGGGACTTGGCCACGGTCAATGTCATCATCACGGCAGGGTTCACACATCAACGTATAATTATTTTTATGAGCTTCTGTAATGTACCATAAATCCCAGGGCTGCTCACCTTGGACAAAGGAGAGGTCTGTGGCGAGCTGGCATCCTCACCTTCTCCAGGACTCAGCTCCACCATGGCGCTAGTCCTTGGAGTGGGCCGCGAGCTGGAAAACGGGAGAGCTTTCCATCAGCGGCTGCAGACGTGATCCCTCCTCTCCCGCTCTCCTAGCGGGGCAATGGCATGAAGGTGGCAGGATTCCATACCTCTCACACAGGCACTCAGCACATAAAAAGCTGGAGGCCTAATTTGTGTTTAATGACTCTATAATTTTTGTAGCTGCTTCTTTTGACAAGCGTTATTACGTGTGGGGCCAGGTGCCACTCACTCGTGTGGAGCTCCCAGGGCGATTCTGCACGGCTGGTTCTCCCCAGCTCTGGCCTCTCCTCCCTGACTCAGGTCACACAGCCTGCTGAGCACCCCACCAGCCCTCTAACTGCCCTGCAGGTAACTTTCTGGGTAGCGAGCTACTTGTTTCTAGATTGCATGCAATATAGTCTTTTCTCTTTGCAATATTTGCCGCATGTTTAATGTTTCACCAGCATTTAATCATATTTAATAATGACTTTTAGGAGGACATTTTTGTGCATATGCACACACGTGTTTCCCCTCGTTGACTCCCAGTCTCCCCTTCATGGTCAGGGTCCACTTACATAACCTCCTCAAACCCCAAGGATCACATTTCCTCCACCTACTATTTACTAAGTCACTAAGTGAGTTTCTAACAGAAAATATGCCAGAGGTTGCACATGGCTCTAAAAGAGACGATTTAAAGTACCTAAAATATAAATAAATTTAACGTATTTTACACTCAAATATACACAAAACAGATAAATAAATTTCAATATATTATTATAGCTTAAATAACATAAAACTCCTCCTGTATAAGGCTTTCTTTCCCTTTATGACACTGAGGATTGAACCTCAGACTTTGTGCATCCTAAGCAAGTGCTCTACCAACAAGACAGAGACCTGTACACCAAAAAATCTTAAATCTCTTGAATGTTAGTGTTTTTCATACGCTGGCCCCTAATCATGTAAAGGTAAACTAAGCTATTGCTGTTGTTAATTTTTTGATGGTTATAAATACTGCTTGTGCCTCACATAAAATATATTTCAAGAAAGCCACACACCCAGGCCGTGGTGTCACTTGCTCAGCACGTGTGGTACCCAGCACGGATGGAAGGAAGGCAATGGGAAGACAGGATAGGAGGAAAGGAAGGAGGACAGAGGGGACTCGAAGGAGGAAGAAATACAACCTGTCCTTCTTATAAAACCTTATCCAAATAAAAGGGCTGAACTTCTGAAATGTTAAATTCATTTTTATCTGAAAACAAAATTCTGAGAGAAAAGATTTTAATATTTACAAATACAAAAAGATAAGCAGCTTTTTAAAATTATGTGTATATGTATGTCTATGCACATGAGTGCAGTGCCCAAAGAGGCCAGAAGAGGGCATCTGATCCCCTAGAGCTGGAGTTACAGATGGTTGTGAGTCCTGGGAACTGAACTTGAACCCCCTAAAAGAGCACTCTTAACCAGTGGTTCAGCTCTCCAGCCCTCAAATAAGCAATTTTTAAAATACATACAAAACCTAGATCCCACTGAGCAGTAGCTCACTGTGGAGGGAAGGTGGCAGTGGTACAAACAGGCCTCTGTCTCTAACAGTCTGCCCGCAGGACGGCACATGTCTTCTCACAGCTGGTTTACATACCTGAGGAGGAATATGGATTCATTCAGCTGGCCCCCTGTGGTACTCTTGGGCCTCAGCTCAGTCGCGTTGTCTGTGACAGAGAGTAGAGTGTTATCCAGAAGGGACAGCCGTCACCATGAGCAGAACATAACACAGAGCCATGAAAAGAAACAGATGCAGAGGCTGGGGCTCCAGACGGCCACAGCCGCTAGCCGCTCGAACCAAGCCTTACCTAGCCGGAAAGACTGGCTGAGCCGATGAGCTCCCTCCTGCCCTTTCGCCTGTCCGTTCTGAGGGCTCTGTGAAAGCTCGCTGGAATCATGCAGCCCAGAACATTCCATGACGTTTCTACTGTTTGACAAGGAGAAATCAACACAAACTCACTTTGGACTCCCCAGGGTTTTGCAAATAGCACAGAACAGGTCAGAGCATAACTGCACCGTGTGTGTGTGTGTGTGTGTGTGTGTGTGTGTGTGTGTGTGTGTGTG